ACATTAGGTGTGAAGACCTACCTCCTGCTTTATTAGGGTATTCAACATTAGGTGTGAAGACCTACCTCCTGCGTTATTAGCGTGTTCGACATTAGCTGTGAAGACCTACCTCCTGCGTTATTACCGTATTCAACATTAGGTGTAAAGACCTACCTCCTGCGTTATCAGCATATTCAACATTAGGTGTGAAGACCTACCTCATGCGTTATTAGCGTATTCAACATTGGGTGTGAAGACCTACCTCCTGCGTTATTAACGTATTCGACATCAGGTGTGAAGACCTACGTCCTGCGTTATTAGCGTATTCAACATTAAGTGTGAAGACCTACCTCCTGCTTTATTAGGGTATTCAACATTAGGTGTGAAGACCTACCTCCTGCGTTATTAGCGTATTCAACATTAGGTGTAAAGACCTACCTCCTGCGTTATTAGCGTATTCGACATTAGCTGTGAAGACCTACCTCCTGCGTTATTAGCGTATTCGACATTAGGTGTAAAGACCTACCTCCTGCGTTGTTAGCGTATTTGATGGACTGCTGTGTTTGTTCCATCACACCATCGTCTGCTGCCACCACCAGAACCACAATGTCTGTCACGTTTGCTCCTCGTTCACGCATGGCTGCGAACGCTGCATGCCCTGGGGTATCCAGAAAGGTGATGGCTTCTCCTGATGGCAGTTTTACTGAAAAGGATATATTGTTGCTAACATTGGTACATTGTATACTGTAGGTTGTAGTAACTACCAAGATCTACCACTGTTGTAAATTTCACTCAGTTTTATCATTTATCCGATGTTCATATCACTTCTTAGGGTGACAGATGTTGGAATAATTTTCAGAATGAACACACATATGGAGGGTTGTGTAGTAACTTAGTAAGTGTACGTCTCTATAGAGATACACCTGTATATCCCCGCTCTACCCTTAATAGGTAAGTGATCACATGACATTTGTCTGATGACAATAAGAGAGAGCACATCACAACGTTATACAAACAGCTAACAAAATGTAAGGAATGACTCTCATTTCCAATAAATTTTACATGTGAACACAACAGATACATTTCAAAGGGAAAGCTTATCGCAGAGAGGTCAAATATTGTTTTGTTCAATTTTCAAAAAGATCTCAGTTGCCACTGGATGTAAACATTTTGATATCATCATGTTTTGAATTATAATTACCATATGACATTTGAGGAATTATTTCAACAACCAAGGTGAGCTAAACATGGTCTACAAACTTAGAAAAGGAAAGCTGTCATGAATATTTTCTAAAATAAAATGTTAAAAACGCACCAGAAAATGCTCCTATGTGCTGAGTTATGCCACCAAACTCCTTTTCCACAACATTTGTTTTCCGGAGCGAGTCGAGCAGCGATGTTTTACCATGATCTACATGACCCATGATGGTGACAACAGGCGATCGTCTTACTAGTACACTTGGATCTGGGGGCGGACTGTAATCACAGGCAGACTGATCACACAACACATACATAATAGCTAGCGGTGTTCTGGTCTATATTTTTCTATTTACTCCTTATGATTGATCAACGTTTCATGATTTTCCATACTTGCTCACAAACATTGACTACCTAAAATGAATTGGTATATTTCTGACAAAGTGATATTTTGGTGGCTATATTTTTGTCAGTTTGTTAAATGTGCCAACACATTTTCCTGTAGACTAACATTTGACATCTCACTTTCTAGATTCCTGATCGACAGATTTGATGATTTTGGCATATACCCTTATAGTATTTAAAATGCAAATACTGAATGTAAATTTGGATAATTTTTGAGATATTTTTCATATTAGAATATGCTATCATGCCAGTAAAATATTTTCATCTGAACGTGTCATGGGAAGATAATGCGCTGGCTGTCAGACGATGACCTATGATAGGGGATTTCCCAATAGGCTATATCTACAAATCCATGTTCACCAGAAAACCAGATAACACAAGTTTTGAGAATTGGTCATATATACGTAGTATCCTACCAAGAAGAAATGATCTGGTATATAATTAATGGTATCTGTTGGTGACGTACCAGGGGTATATATCCTTGTCTTGCCTCTTCTTCTCTTCTGTACGTAAGATCTGACCATCAGGCTGTGCCTCCACCACATTCACCGTCACTCCAACAGATTTACCAATCGATTTCATTAGGACAGTTGATGGAACAGATTGAAACCCTGGAAAAATAAAGGTACAAACATACCAAAATATGCATACTTACTTGATATTGTCAAAAGTTTGACAAGAAATCCCAGAAGGATCTTGGCACCACCATTGTACTATCTTCATTAGTTTATGTCAGTTTGATTTTTTCTCTTCTTTTCTCTTATCTGTTTGATCAAGTCATGTTAACAGTAAATGCACCGTTTCACATAGTTACTAGTACAGTTCTTTAAATGTATGTGATATAGATTATCAGATGATGGTGGGCTAAAAAAGTTCCTGTTAAAGGTTTATTTGACTCCTGTGACTTTGAAAGTCTGACAAGGTCATTAAGTTGAACAGCTTTTGAGTCAACTTGCAAAATATCACCACCCTAGACCATTTGTTCATTGAGATAAGGTCATTTAAAAATGCATACACATTTTACCATCTGTGACCTTGAAAGTGGGTAAAGGTCATTCACATAAACACATTTGTTAACTCTTCATCTGAGGCGGCTACTGGCAAGTTATCACCACACTATTCAATTTGGTTATTCAGAAGCTGTTATATACAAGTCAAGGTCATTCTTTTGAAAAAAGCTGATAGCCCTTCATCCCTGCGTTCTACTTGCCAAACATCATCACCCTGGGCCTTTTGTTTATTCAGAAGAGTTGTTTAAAACATTTTAACATATTTGACCACTGTAATACAGGTGAAGGTCATTCATTTGAACAAACTTAATAGCCTTTCATCAATGCATGATACTGGACAAATAGCATCAAACTGGGTCTTTTGGTTATTCATAAGAAGTTGTTTAAAGTTTTTGAAATATTTGATCCCTGTGATCTTGAATATAAGTCAAGGTCATTCATTTAAACAAACTTGGTAGTCCTTCATCCCAGCATGGTACTGGCTAAATATCATTACCCTAGGCATCTTGGTTATTCAGAAGAAGTTGTTTAAAGTGAAAAGTTGATGCCAGACATGGGGACAGACAACAGAGTCGCACCACGGCATAAGCTCACTTGGCCCTTGTGCCGCATGAGCTAAAAATTGATTTGCATACGATTTGCCTCCTTTTGTACATATTTCAAACCATGAAAATATTAATTGAAATTGCCCCTTTTTGCCAATAATATAAGTAATTTATCAATCTTACACGATAACAAGAGTACCGCGGGGCGGAACAAAATATGCCCGTCGAATGCCACAAAGTGTTATATACTTTCTTACAATGAAATAAGATCTGCATCATTCTAAGAGTGGTTAGCTGATATGCTATAAAAATGTAGGAGAAAATCTTCCGACAAAAAATTCAAATACTGAAATGAACAAAAGGCAATAAATTTTGCAAAAATTGTCGAATCAAAATTCTTTTTTAAGGGAGACACAACTTCATATCATGATTATAATGTATACCAAGTTTCAAAGAGATCGGTCGAAAAATGTAGGAGGAGATCTCCGGACAAAATTTAAATACTGAAATGAACAAAGGCTAATAACTTTTAAAAAAAATGTCGAATCAAAATTCTTTCAAGGGAGACACAACTTCATATCATGATTATAATGTATACCATGTTTCAAATAGATCGGTCGAAAAATGTAGGAGGAGATTGCCGGACAAACAAAGTTTACGCCGGACGGATGGACGGACAACGCCACTATAATACTATCGTCAAATTTGACGGTCCTATAAAAACCAAAGATATATTTTGACCTGCCATTTTGGTGAAAGTTTCTTACAAAGAATTTGAATGAACAAACATTTATGAATTACATACATAATGACCATGGCCATTACTAACATACATACTTGATTCAAACTTTTCATAATCAGTACCACCGACAGCTTTCTTATAGTACTGCTTTATCACGTCTGAAAAAGAACGGAACATATGCAATACATATTGTGTGTACCATAAAGCAGACCGTTTCACTATCGCTCTTTTTTTCACCCTTGAACAATGGGTAAAACTGTGATAGGTATAGGAATGTAACTCTGAATAAATTCAATTCAACACTTTGTGGACAAAAAATATTATCAGTAATGTTAATGTAATAATATTAAAAATTTTGACAGCCACAATATCAAAGTTTTAATTCAACAAATATTTATTTACATGTATAAAAAGAAAGTTTTGTTTAAAAAACTTAACAATATGAACTAAATAAACGGGTCTACAGCTGATATTGGATGGACATCAGATATACAACTGATGTTGGAGAGACAACAGATGTACAAGTGATGCATGCTGGATAGACAACATATATACAACTGATGATAGATACACAACAGATATACAACTGATGTTGGAGAGACAACAGATATTGGAGAGACAACCACTATACAACTGATGCTAGATAGACAACATATATACAACTGATGTTGGAGAGACAACAGATAGGGACACTGTATTATAAATAGACTGGGGGCATACAACTGAAGTTGGAGAGATAACAGCCAGGGACACTGTTTTATAAATGGACTGGTGGCATACAACTGAAGTTGGAGAGATAACAGATAGGGACACTGTCTTATAAATGAACAGGGGGCATACAACTGATGCTAGATAGACAACATATATACAACTGATGTTGTAGAGACAACAAATATACAACAGGTGTTGGAGAGACAGCAGATATGGACACTGTATTATAAATGCTGAAAAGACTGAAGGCATATAACTGAAGTTGGATAGACAGCAACTAGGGTCACTGTATTATAAATGGACTGGGGGCATCCAACTGATGTTGGAGAGATAACAGACATGGACACTGTTTTATAAATGAACAGGGGGCATACAACTGATGCTAGATAGACAACATATCTACAACTGATGTTGGAGAGACAACAAATATACAACAGGTGTTGGAGAGACAGCAGATAGGGACACTGTATTATAAATGCTGAAAAGACTGAAGGCATATAACTGAAGTTGGATAGACAGCAACTAGGGTCACTGTATTATAAATGGACTGGGGGCATACAACTAATGTTGGAGAGATAACAGATAGGGACACTGAATTATAAATGGACTGGTGGCATACAACTGAAGTTGGAGAGATAACAGATAGGGACACTGCATTATAAATGGACTGGGGGCATACAACTAATGTTGGAGAGATAACAGATAGGGACACTGAATTATAAATGGACTGGTGGCATACAACTGATGTTGGAGAGCTAACAGACCGGCACACTGTTTTATAAATGAACAGGGGGCATACAACTGATGTTGGAGAGATACCAGATAGGGACACTGTATTATAAATGAACAGGGGGCATACAACTGATGCTAGATAGACAACATATATACAACTGATGTTGTAGAGACAACAAATATACAACAGGTGTTGGAGAGACAGCAGATAGGGACACTGTATTATAAATGCTGAAAAGACTGAAGGCATATAACTGAAGTTGGAGAGACAGCAACTAGGGTCACTGTATTATAAATGGACCGGGGGCATACAACTAATGTTGGAGAGATAACAGATAGGGACACTGCATTATAAATGGACTGGGGGCATACAACCGATGTTGGAGAGATAACAGACAGGGACACTGCTTTATAAATGGACTGGGGGCATCTAACTGAAGGTGGAGAGATAACAGATAGGGACACTGTCTTATAAATGAACAGGGGGCATACAACTGATGTGTGAGAGATAACAGATAGGGACACTGTTTTATAAATGGACTGGTGGCATACAACTGATGTTGGAGAGCTAACAGACCGGCACACTGTTTTATAAATGAACAGGGGGCATACAACTGATGTGTGAGAGATAACAGATAGGGACACTGTTTTATAAATGGACTGGTGGCATACAACTGATGTTGGAGAGATAACAGACAGGGACACTGTATTATAAATGGAATGGGGGCATACAACTGATGTTGGAGAGATAACAGAAAGGGACACTGTATTATAAATTAACAGGGGGCATACAACTGATGTGTGAGAGATAACAGATAGGGACACTGTATTATAAATGGACTGGGGACATACAACTGATGTTGGAGAGACAACAAATATACAACAGGTGTTGGAGAGATAGCAGATAGGGACACTGTATTATAAATGAACATGGGGCATACAACTGATGTGTGAGAGATAACAGATAGGGACACTGCATTATAAATGGACTGGGGGCATACAAATGAAGTTGGAGAGATAACAGATAGGGACACTGTATTATAAATGGACTGGGGGCATCACAACCGATGTTGGAGAGATAACATTTAGGGACACTGTATTATAAATGGACTGGGGGCATACAACTGATGTTGGATAGATAACAGACAGGGATACTGTATTATAAATGGACTGGGGACATACAACTGATGTTGGAGAGATAACAGACAGGGATACTGTATTATAAATGGACTGGGGGCATACAACCGATGTTGGAGAGATAACAGATAGGGACACTGTATTATAAATGAACAGGGGGCATACAACTGATGTTGGAGAGATAACAGACAGGGACACTGTATTATAAATGGACTCGGGGCATACAACTGATGTTGGAGAGATAACAGATAGGGACACTGTATTATAAATGAACTGGGGGCATACAACTGAAGTTGGAGAGATAACAGACCATGACACTGTATTATAAAGGGACTGGGGGCATACAACCGATGTTGGAGAGATAACAGATAGGGCCACTGTATTATAAAGGAACAGGGGGCATACAACTGATGTTGGAGAGATAAAAGATAGGGACACTGTTTTATAAATGGACAGGGGGCATACAACTGATGTGTGAGAGATGACAGATAGGGACACTGTTTTATAAATGAACTGGGGGCATACAACTGATGAGTGAGAGATAACAGATAGGGACACTGTTTTATAAATGAACAGGGGGCATACAACTGATGTTGGAGAGATAACAGACAGGGTCACTGTATTATAAATGGACTGGGGGCATCTAACTGAAGTTGGAGAGATAACAGACCATGACACTGTATTATAAATGGACTGGGGGCATACAACCGATGTTTGAGAGATAACAGATAGGGACACTGAATTATAAATGGACTGGGGGCATACAACTGATGTGTGAGAGATAACAGATAGGGACACTGTTTTATAAATGGACTGGGGGCATACAACTGATGTTGGAGAGATAACAGATAGGGACACTGTATTATAAATGGACTGGGGGCATACAACTGAGTTGGAGACAGCAGAGGAATAACTGATGCTGTATCCTGACAGACATTATGTTGGCTTTAACAGTCAGGTGAACATTATATGTAACACAAAATAAGTACATACCTTCATCAATGTTTAGCAGTGATGCAAATTGTTTGACTGACACACCCTTCGGAACCTTCACATACTTGTCCTCTGGCACGTAGAGCTTTTTGGAACTATACGTAATAGCTGTTCTGTTCTGGATTCCTTTTGACCTCTGGATGAATTTTTTTACAAAAAGATAAAAACAATGCATGCAAAAATGTGTAAAACAACATATGAAATACTCTGTATACAAAACAGCTTTCTTGAGGTATTATTACTAGAACAAAGTTAAAAGTACATAAAGTAAACGGTTACAATGCATCAGTTATAATCCTGAAGTATGGTCCATTCTGAGAATTCTCCCTCCTATATAGAAGATGAAGCAGTCAAATGAAGATTTTCAGGCTTAGAGTAATTCCCCTCTCAAGGTTTTTATATGCTTTGAGGCCCATAAATTGGATACAAATTTTGATGATTTGCTTATTTAACTCCTATATGGCAACATTGGTCAAGTGTAGGCTTTGCTCTGTAAAGTCTGGCATCTGACTCCTGTAGCTTCCTGTTTTTTCTTTCCTATTTTCATTTTCAGACATTAAAATTTCAAACAGCTCCATTTTTATAAAATGCATGGCAACATGTGATTTCTATGAAATAGTTCTTTTGAAAAGGACATAAATAAGTATTTCACAAAAGTGATATTGGTAAAACTATAAACAGTGTAGTCTAACTTGTTGGTACCCGTTACCTTAAGACTAAGTTAACCCTATACAACCTTGTTACAGAGTTTGACTAAGTTAACCCTATACAGCCTTGTTACAGAGTTTGACTAAGTTAACCCTATACAGCCTTGTTACAGAGTTTGACTAAGTTAACCCTATACAGCCTTGTTACAGAGTTTGACTAAGTTAACCCTATACAGCCTTGTTACAGAGTTTGACTAAGTTAACCCTATACAGCCTTGTTACAGAGTTTGACTAAGTTAACCCTATACAGCCTTGTTACAGAGTTTGACTAAGTTAACCCTATACAGCCTTGTTACAGAGTTTGACTAAGTTAACCCTATACAGCCTTGTTACAGAGTTTGACTAAGTTAACCCTATACAGCCTTGTTACAGGTTAAGACTAAGTTATCTATTTACAGCCTTGTTACAGAGTTAGACTAAGTTAACCCTATACAGCCTTGGTATAGGTTAAGACTTAGTTATCTATTTACAGCCTTGTAACAGAGTTAGACTAAGTTAACCCTATACAGTCTTGTAACAGAGTTAGACTAAGTTAACCCTACACAGCCTTGGTATAGGTTAAGACTAAGTTAACTATTTACAGCCTTGTTACAGAGTTAGACTAATTTAACCCTACACAGCCTTGGTATAGGTTAAGACTAAGTTATCTATTTACAGCCTTGTTACAGAGTTAGACTAAGTTAACCCTATACAGCCTTGTTATAGAGTTAGACTAAGTTAACCATATACAGCCTTGCTATAGGTTTAGACTAAGTTAACCCTATACAGCCTTGTTACAGAGTTAGACTAATTAAACCCTACACAGCCTTGGTATAGGTTAAGACTAAGCTAACTATTTACAGCCTTGTTACTGGGTTAGACTAAGTTAACCCTATACAGCCTTGCTATAGATTTAAATTTAGACTAAATAGCCTTGCAGCCTTGCTACAGGTCTAAGCTAAGTGAACTCTAGTTATATAACCTGATTATAGTGTAACAGCAGGAGAGGAAAAATTCCACTGCCTGACAGGGAATTGAACCTGTGACATCTGCCCTTTAGACGAACGCTTTTACCCATGAGCTACCTGATTTCTGGTGATCAACCCAGACCAGTTGTTCGGCTCCATTCCTCTCTGTAAGAAAGTCTTTGACCCTGAAGACACACACAAAGGTTAGACCTAATACCATCTTAATACAGACCCGTACATGTTCGGTGTTCCACCTTGAACGCAAACGGTACCGAAGTGCTACGCAAACGGTACGGAAGTGCTACGCAAATGGTACGCAAGTGCTACGCAAACGGTACGGAAATGGTACGCAAGTGCTACGTAAATGGTACGGAAGTGCTATGGATGACGCTTAAAAATGGTGATTCGTTTGTGGTGACAAGAACGGGTTTACATAAAAAGCAGAAGCATAAAAAATATCTAAAACGAAACGAACATACCCACAATGCATAGGAAAAAACATCAGTAAACTGTAGGCTACGAGGAGGCACATAAGAATGATTTAAATTTTGACATTTTGTTTGCATAATGGATGAGTGTGACACAAACAGAAATGTCTCGTGTTTTATAAAGATAAAGGTCGATCAAATATTGGTACATGTAATATCTCCATCACAAAGACCTGACGTACGCTAACAGATCAACGCGCCATACAGATAATAATAAGTTATGGTCAGAAGTATTTCCACCTGCTTACCGAATAAAAGGCTATCTAATATTGACAGTAAGTAAACTTGTTACGTTTTTTTTAACGATAAACGTAATAATTAATAAGCCTAATAATAATAAAAAAATCAGACTCCTGTGTTAAGGATCCAGTACCTCTATTTCTATTTTTTATATCGTCTTTAATACTCCATAAACTTTTAGATTTTTCGTAGGATTTGGAGACCGATAACGTGCTTAATTATTAGTACATGCAAATACATGCATCGGAGATTTGAAATGTATACATGTTATACCATGTCTATTAATTAAATTTCATTCACAGATAAACAGGTTTTTTTGTTATACATCTTTTATTTTATAATAAAAATGTAGTTGATTCTTGTTTAAGTATACATTGTACGTGTATATTGTTACGAAGAGTTATTATATATATTTTTTTTCAGTTTGAAAGGCAAGCTCGTGCATGTAGGAAACTATTATGAATAAGAAAAATAATATGTACTAAATATATGTAATTTTTACATTCATGATATGTCCCTCTAGTATTAATAAGAATATAGGTTTTCTTTATCGATCATAAAAATGTAGGTATCTATACTGACTTTTCTACAGGTAAATCTTACCTGTCTGAATCCTGGTACTGGAGAAACTATGACTGTCTGGCACACCCTGAGGGGTGTGTACTACAGAGGGTATAGGGGTCTGATGTCAGATAACATAGGGACTGATCATGAGACCACAGTCAAACTTCAATATATCTACAATATGTATTTCTCCATTTGTACATGTACGTTTGTACCTAAACAGGCGTGGATCAAGGAGGGTGTGGGCTTAGGGCGATAAGCTTCCTGATCAGGGGCAATTAGTCATGGTAGAGTAGAGAGAGTGTGGGTAGGGGGAGGGGTTTATTTAATAGATACATTTATCATTCATTTATAAAAAAAAATCCCTTGGGGAGGGGGGGGTGTATACATGTATATCTATGTGAGGATGCTCACAATCTCTTGTCTCTAGTTCCACATGAAAACGTTGTGGCGCTGAGGGAAGAAGTATTTTTTCTTGAAACTGGTGATGGGGAATGGTGCCACACACAAAATCAAGTGAAAATGTTTGCTTTAAAGTATACGTCTCTGACCGTTGTCAGACTTTTTATAGACAACGCCACAATAGATGAGTGGCAAAACTACATAACATTTTGTTTGTCTGGGCTCAATACATATAAGTGTAAGTGCTACAATATTTCATGTGTTGTCATACATGTACGTAGCCTCATCGCCTGGTTCAAGTTCAAGTTCTTTATTACTTTGAGTCGTTCGACTCACCAGTTACAATGTAAAACTATTTGTGGTTTTAACTGTGCAAAATACAAAATAACATTACACAACATTACACACACTCACAACACAATTACAAGTGTAACTATACCTATTTATAATAATTAGGTTCCTTTCGAATTTGCAAATTTTATATATTTCCCTATATATATAAGTTCGTTATTTCTTTCGTATTTTCACACTCAATAATCCTTTCAATTTAAACATGCTTGGCTTTTTAATATAATAAATTTTCAAAACAATTGCTCGCAAATTAGAATGACATGTCTAGATTCAATGTTTTGATATCGCCCTTTTTCTAATTTTAAGTTATGAGGAGATATTTTTTTTATTTCTTTCAGATATTCTTTTTGTATGGGTTTACGCAGGTAGGTTTGGAGATCAAAATGATCGTAAATATATCTATAAAAATTTGCTTTTGAGAATATTCTATTTTTTTCTGCACATTCTTCTCTAAAAATATCAATTAACCTCTCTTTAATTAATTAATCTTGTTGTCGTTAATGTAATATTTCCAAATATACCCTAGGTCAGGTTAATCCCAGCCTCTGATATATACTGTCCACTGTGTAACTTGCTAAAGGCGCTAAGTGGTACTAATTGGTCAGCTGTTTAAAGGTCAATTATCTTTTTCATTGAACCATGTAAGTTCATAGGTACACTAGCCCGGAACTGCTTGACTGATTTTTGACACCTTTATAATTACCACACACAGTATTTTTATTTAATAATGAAGTGATCGAGTTAGTGGACAATTTTAACTATTTGGGTACGGCATTTAGTCGAACTGGTTCATTCAATGAAACAAAAAAATACAATATTAAAAAGGCTACTATAGCAATGTATGACGTTACAAAGAAAGGTAGACTACATAACTTATCAGTTCATTGTAGATATGATTTATTTGACAAGATTGTAAAACCCATACTGTTGTATGGTTGTGAAGTTTGGGACCTTACTGACCTTAAGGTAATTGAACGTGTACTTTAAAGTTCTGTAAATTATTACTAGGGTTAAAAAGTAGCACCCCTAATTATATGGTATACCGAGAACTAGGTACTAGTCCACTTGAAATATCAGTAAAAACAAGAATAATATCATATTGGTCACAATTGACTCCTTCTAAAGAAAATAAAATTAATATTATATTGTATAAACTTCTTTGCCATCAACATAATAATGTTGATGATAAACCGGTTCCATATATAAGCTTCATTAAACGTATTTTAAATGAATGTGGTATGAGTAATTATCTATGGAATATCCAATATACTTCAGAATGTAATATCACATGGCTATAAAGCATGTTATTAAACAAAGATTGTACGACCAGTATTTACAGAAATGTCAGAGTGATGTACACACTTCATCAAAAGCTACATGTTATAGGATTTTTAAAAATAATTGTCATTTTGAAAATTACTTAGATATCTTAAGTGA